AGGTGGATAAAAATGCCAAATCCAGTCTAAACATCTGGCTGGCTGTGTGCACAACAGCAACAACAAGGAAAAAGGGTCTTCTTGGAATGACTTCACCAGAGTGTACCCCAAAGTTCTGGTTTTCCTCCTCTTTAGAGGTCAGTGGAAAAGGGAAAGAAACCCAGAAGCCTGAGATGTGCTTCTTCTGATGGAACATCAGCACTTCAGGGCCAGGATGTGCTCAGTGCACAGGCTTTATCTGCCAAGCATCAATCACCCAGCCCTGGGGATAGAATGACACTTGAACTGCCTGGTAAGCAAGCTGTTGAAAGATATATTGGCTACATTCACACATTGCCCAAAGCCTTATTATGAGTTGTGTTTGATTTTGGCTTAGTGCAAGATATGAGTCAGGCTAGTAGAAGCTTAGTCAGCTATTTGGGATGAAGCAAGCCATGGCTTGGCCAAAGGTGCAAACACAGGCAACATGCTTACCGTGATTTGTGGTCCTTCTCAGCTGTATCATCCGTTAATTGGTCTGATTCCCTTTTCAAAAGAGCTAAGCTTGCAGATATATTTAGCAACCCAGCAGTCTCAAAGTTCTCACAAGGTTGTTGTGATACCTCTTATTTTTGCATTTACGGACTCCTCGAAGGAGATGCAGCCTGTCAGCAACGTTTCACATAACGTGGCCTTTCAGCCTTTCACTAAAACATGCGAGAGAGATCCTGCCATAGTCCCGGCCAACAATGTGAGATATGCAACAGGCGCTCTCCCCAAGAGAAATTCTTGGGTTCCAGTCAGTTTCAGCAGAACATCTGGTGGACCTCAACTCAACCCGAAGTGACAGATTTGGTCCCACTGCCTTGTTCCGCTTCCATCAGCTGTTTGCTGCCCATCAGCACGGTGGGATTAAGGCAAAATGGGTAGGATTAAGCTGGATGTTATAATCTCTGACATACGGATGTGGTTAATCAGCTTGCTAACAGAGTAGTCACTAACTGGTGAAGGCAAGGACAGCTGCACATGCTATTAAGCTCAGGTGGAACTCAGTTGTCTCAAGAGGGCTGGTTTGCCCGTGGCTGGAAAGTAACTGGGGTCTTGTAATGGGGACAGTCCTGGCTACTTCCCAGCTCTTCAACCAGACTTCAATCCATGAAGTGTGTTTGGTTTGCTGGCTGACTGGCTGCGGAAGCCACCTGTGATTCCCGTTGGTTGTGGAGTTGCTTTTCCGAGCTTCGTGCTCTGTAAGATAGGGAGATTTCAACTTCTGTAGTCCTCTGCAAGTTGAAGGCCTAGGCATTGGGTAGAGTTGCTCATGGATGTCTGATAGAAACCACAAGGATGCCACATGCAACCACTGTTTATGCGATGATATCATGATGTGCATGACATCGCTTGCCCCTCCCCCTGCAGATGTCATGGTTAAAGTCCAGACATCTGGAAAGGAAGAGATGGGGGAAAGCTGGTCCAGATAGCTTGGCCCAGCTTGCATGGCAAATGTGTTGAGTTACAACCCTTTGCATCCCCAGGTGCAATGGCCATGCTAGTTGAGGATAATCATAACTGGCCAGAGTCATGCATTTGAGATGGGCAGCTCTATAAAATGAATGAATGGATGATCTGGAGGGCACTAGGTTGGGGAAGCCACATCTAGAGATACCATTCTTGTTCAAATCCCTGTCCAGCCATTAGAAGCAATGAAATGGGGCAGCTGGCTTGTTTCTTCTAATGATGGCCTCTCACTTAAACCTCTTGGAAAGAGGAATACCAAGATTCAGGGATGATAGGTGCAGCAAAGGCGGCTTTATGACTCCATGTTCAGAGGCAGCATACCTCTGAATGATGGTTTCTACAGAACAATAGCAGGGGGAGACAGCTATGAACTGTTGGTTTTTGAGTGCAAGGAACAGATGCTGTGACCTGGGGACCTTGATGCCTAGTGGGGTGGGGTATGTGTGTGAGAGGAGACTCTGGCAAAGTTCACAGTAAGTGTGGGGGAAGGTTCACTTCCCCACATGTCAGTGGTCCAAAATTGATGGTCAGTGGTCCAAACAGATTTGAGCCCAGAGATCCAAGTCAGGCTATATAAGGTTGCCAGGAAAACAGACCAGGAGCGGCTGCCTCCTTCCAAGAAATTCCATGACAGAGCATTGGTTTCTCAGGGCTGATGGTGACCCCCTCTTTGAGCCTTTCCCTGCTCAATCTGCCCATCTGAACCACTGGAGCCATTCCTAACACACCTTGCCAAGCCCTGAAAGGTGACCTGGTTAATTTCAGTCATTCTGCAGAGCGTCTCTGCCTGTCTTGAATTCTCTGGCACAGCAAAGAGGTTTCTTTCCAGGAACAAGGTGTACCCTTGATCATCATCTCTTTCTGTAACATTCCATTGCTATTAAGTTATTAAGTACTCCAGGCAGCAGAAGGCCTTTCTAAATATACAACGGCCTTGCCACATCCCTCAAACTTCCAGAATGCCAGGGAGGGTTTAGCAAGCTGGGGCCAAGTTTTCCATCTGCTCAGCCCAGCGATGTCTGGACCCTGCGCTTAGAGCTCACCATCAGCCACACTTCCCAGCTATAATGTGCAAGGGCGTTCCAACAGCTGTACAAACAGCTAGATTTTCACTATTCCCCTGGGTAGGTTCCAGACATTGTTGCCTTCAGAACCAGGCTGAGATTTAAATGCGCAATGGACAGAAGCTCCTTTTACTTTTCAGAGGCAGCAAGGGAGAGATTCCAGTCTCGTAAGGTATGGAACACGAGGCTGGTATTTTCCTCTGGCAAAAGGGGAGGAATCTTACTGCAAGCAATTTTTTCCTATCCTGTCACCAGGCTGATTTTCAGTGGTGGGCATATATGGAGAATCCAGTTCAATGTTCATCTGTGTCCTTGTCTCAGGTTCAGACTGGCAAAGAACAAATAAGGTGATAAAAACGTTCCTGTAGTGCAGTGTTTCTCAACGTTGGCAACTTTAAGAAGTGTGGACTTCCACTCCCAGAAGTCCCCAGTCAGCATACTGGTTGGGGAATTCTGGGAGTGGAAGTCCACACCTCTTAAAGTTGCCAATGTTGAGAAACACTGCTGTAACGTGATGGAATATTTGGCAGAACCTAAGAACATGGAGGAGGAGGAGGAGGAGGAGGAGGAAAGATCATTACAGAAAATATTCCTGGGTCCAGGGGATGAGGGAAGCATGAGAAATTGACTCTAAGGAACTCTGCCTTAATTGTTGATCTGGAGAATTGCTTTGGCAAGCTTTTAAAATTCCATCACATTACTATAAGGCTCTGTCTAGAAATCCAAGTAGTTCTTGTTTTATGACTTAGCCAGTCTGGCAGGGCTTAACAGGAACACAATAAATAACATCAAGAAGCGATGATGGTCTATCTCAGTGTTTTTCAAACTTGGCAACTTTAAGATGTGTGGAGTTCAACTCCCAGAATTCCCCAGCCAGCATGCATTCATTACTCCAAGCATACTGGCTGGGGGATTCTGGGAATTGAACTCCACAGATTCTTAATGTTGCCAAGTTTGAAAAACACTGTGTATCTGAACATTCTCCCACAGAGTAATTCCACGTGGACGTTGGGTTATCTTGGGAAGGAACATTTTCCTTGACATTCTAGTGTTCTAGGTGAAAGAAAGACATTTTCCGCATCAGCCTAAGGGTCAACCCACTGTGTGCATTTCCCACTAGGATGGTTCAGCTGCTGATGCTCTGAGAAAATATATTGCCTTACAACTATGTCAAGGTTTTAAACCCATTTGTTCTTGCCACGCCACAAACTATGATTGAAGGTGATGTAAAAGCTGAGCTGATAGAAAGGATAATCTGGTCCCCCCTACCTGTGAAAGGAGAGAACAAAAGCTTGTCATGGCTTGACTGGGCCAGGAAGGGACTGCAAACTTTCCACCTGAATGTGCTCTGCACTGTATTTATAACATTGTATAAGCTGCCCTGGGAAGAAATTTGGAAGGATCGAACAGAAGTCTGGAAAATAAGTATACAAATTAATTCCAGGAACCATAAGTTTGGTCTAGTGGTGAAGGCACCAAGCTGGAAAGCAGGAGACGGTGAGTTCTAGTCCCACTTTAGGCATGGAAGCCGTCTGGGGCAGTCCCTCTCTCTCAGCCCAACTCACCTCACAGGGTTGTTGTGGGGAAAATAGGAGGAGGAAGGAGTAATAGGTACATGGAAGCCGTCTGGGGCAGTCCCTCTCTCTCAGCCCAACTCACCTCACAGGGTTGTTGTGGGGAAAATAGGAGGAGGAAGGAGTAATAGGTACATGGAAGCCGTCTGGGGCAGTCCCTCTCTCTCAGCCCAACTCACCTCACAGGGTTGTTGTGGGGAAAATAGGAGGAGGAAGGAGTAATAGGTATGTTCGCCACCTTGAGTTATTTATAAAAATAAGAAAGGTGGGATAAAAAATCCAAAAAAACAGAAATGCTTTCCTGATCTAGCATCCTTTAGGTGTGTAGAACTTCAGTGTCCATAATTCTTAGCCAGCCTAGCTCTCCCATCTACAGGACTTTAGAGAAGAGACCCATTCCTTGTCTCCTTTCCTTCGCAGGGTTCCACGCCTGCCCTGATCTGATGGTAAGCTGGCTTCCCACATTGTTGCTTCTCCGAGACTACAAGATCCCTTCTTTATTCACTATGTACAGGTAAAGTTCTCCTTCCAGTTCATGACTGGTTATGATTCCCACAGAATCTGAGTTTTGGGCCCATTCAGATGGGACGTATTCATGTTTGTATCCCATGGGTGATTAAAAACCCCAAAAAAGCAGATACATCCATACCCCACCTATACTGATTTTTTAGAAAATCATACTCATTACCAGGACTTAGCCTACACATGACTCTTGGACCCTGGGAAGAAAAAGGGGAAGGAGCATGTGAAAAAAGAATCCTCTTCTTAATTCAGGCATACAGCATTTTTCATTTTCTGATCCCTTCTTGTTGAGAGCAAGGAAGGTGACCTTGGTTGAGATAGATGAGATCCATTACCAAAGTGATGACAGGGAAAACACAAGTCCAAAACAAGCAGAAAATATGTGGAAAAGGCTCAGACACCTCCCTAATTCACATGAGCATAAAAGGGGGAGGAGGTCCAATACAATCGGACTTGCAAAACTCTGTTATTACAGCCAATGACGATCAAAGTAGGCTTAGCCTTCCTATGGAGTTGATTCCTGGGCTGGTCTACCTGTTGGGGCTGACACTTTCAGATGGATGGCATTACAATTCCTCATCACCTCCAGGCTGCTAATCTCATGGCTCCTTATTGATGAAGAAAGATTTACTGCCTCTCCCTGAAACCCAGGGTTATGATCCAACCATTTGTAAGTCCAAAGCAAGCCAGAACAAAACAGCCTCCTTTTTCTGATCTTTGAGGGGCACCGTGATTGAACCAGAAGAAACTCATACCTTGTTTCACACAGGAGAAGTGCAGGGCAGCTGTCTTCTCTGGTAAAGCAGCACTTGCAGAATCCATGAGCTTCTGAAGCTGATGGATCAGACTGTAACAGTGTTTCTCAACCTTGGCAGCTTGAAGATGTGTGGACTTCAACTCCTAGAATTCCCCAGCCAGCATGGCTGGCT